TACCCGCTGGTAGTGAACATCTGCCGTAGATAGCGGAGTTCAGCTACTTTGACGGCTGTTTCGCTGCAATGAGCCTCAGCGCTCTTGTAGAGACTTCGTGCACAACTGCGTTTATGACACAATGGGTGATTGCCTTGGTAGTTCAGGATCTGACACGTGTTTGTGGCCTTCCTGCAGACCGTCGTCTTCAGGTTCCCGTCAGTCTTGCGATGAACTAATACGTCTAGGAATTCTATCTGCCCATCATGAACTGAATATCCACAAAATATGAGCTCAGGAGGGCATAGAAGTTCATGACTTTTTCCGCTTGAGAATGATGAAAGTCGTCCACATAACGCGCTTCAGCGATGAAACCGGATAGGGGTGATCCTATCGGTGTATCTTTGGTTTGCTCGTACACTACCCCTTCGAAGCTTAAGTAAGTTTTGAGGCAGTACTTCAGCAAATGCATGAGATGTCCGCGTTGAGGTGCTTTAGCCGCCTCGATATAGTTGCTGTCAAGGTCACTTACAGCTTCAATAGCCAGGCTCTGTGAGATCGATGTGAATATTGAGGTGATCATTGCCTTAGGTAACAACGGATCGGATTATAATACAAAATAGCCGTCTTATAATCAACGGTGATGACTTGGGGTAACAAGCAACACCGAGCTTAAGAAATAAAAACAGCGAAAACATGTCAATCGTTCGCCTACCTCTGAAGTTAAAGGATCTGTCTGACCGTCACCACCGAAGGTATTTGTTTCCGGCAGCTGCCTGATCTTTGGAAAGTAGCGCCCGGCCTTGATCAATTTGACTAATTCTTTGTAAAAGGGATTGAGCTCCGAGTCATAATTTAAAAATTGAAATTGAGAATTGGAAGCTTGTTTGGCCTTGAGGACGATCTCCATTTGAGTGCTATTACGGGCGATAAATACGGCTGTACGCTCAATAATAGCAGCCTGGCGATCGGTTTGTGGAAGCACCATATACGGCGGCAGAACGAGCTCGGGAGGACAAACGTATGGGGCGTTATCAGAGTTTTTGGATGATGTCGTAACATCAGTGTCGCTTTCCTCCGGCTTTACCGGAACGCTAGCTGACGCAGCTGAAGGAAGCACTGTAGCTAAATGGAAGAGCAGCAGAGAAAATGCGATAAAATAAGGATAAATAAGCTAGTATTTGCAAATGTCTTCATAGGCTCCAGGTCCGAAAGGCCTATCTTAAAAACGAAACAACGAGCAAAAGTGTAGAGCATGCAAACAGGAAAGCAGCGGTCGTGCTCCAAAGCATTTATCAATCATTCCGGACCGGCATGTGTATTGGGAACTGCAGAACACGGGCAAAGAATTACGTAGCTAGACCACTGATCAAGCAACTAAACTCGAACCCCAATCCCCGACCTCAAAAGTTTGATTGCAGGAACTTATTGACATGCTTTTGTTGAGCGTCAGCAACAGTATGGGTTAAGCATGCGTAAATAAGGTGGTCTGAGTGCAGATTCTTGTAGTTACGTAGCGCCTAACCAACGATCCAGATTACATTGATGCACGCAATAAGAATGGCAAAATTAGTGTTAACTATTCGGTGAGAGTACTTAATGGGGCCGCATATGGGTCCTTGTGTATTATAACCACCTACTTACAAATTTTAAGGTCAAATTTCCCACAATCTTCCTGTTTTCCGCAGGCCGGCCGTCGACCCAGTAGGGATGCAATGATAGTGTTAAAATACAGAGGGAC